AAAACCACCACACTTATTTCTGTTCTGACCATACCTATGTTTAGGCTTTGGATCTTAGGGGTCAGCCCATGAAAACTATATTCCAAGCCCAAGAATTCAGGTTCAGGAACTAGCATAATCAATCAAATAAGGGCGTCAGGGACTGCCACACTGCATCTATCCAAGTATCCTGTCGGTATAATGCCTAGTAGCAAATCCTTAGGGGGAAGAGTATAAGACTCAGGTTACTGTGGTCTTTCCTTGGGTATTCTTCTCGAGCTTCTGATAACCAGTAGTCTGAGACCAAGATTTCATCTAGACTGTTGTATGGAATAACAACTGATCAACTCTGCCTTCACTAATTTTTCCAATCTGTTTTGGTCCTTTCAATCCTAAAAGTTTTACAGCTTGCAAAAAAGTACTTCCTTTTACTCCTTTTAAAGCATAACACTGAGAATTAACTGGGTTCTTTTTTGGGTTTTTTTTTTTTGTGTGTGTTAAGCAAGACTGTGATTAATTATCCTGCATTTACTTTCAATCCTTTCTTCACTCTATCACACCCATTATCATATCCCCCTTCTGTCCTCTTTCTCCCAGGCTGAACAATGCTCAGCCATCCAGGCTGTCCTCATACAGAAACCATTTGTACCACTGTTGGTTTGCATCGATCTCTGGCTCTTTTCTGGTCCCACTGCATCTTTCTTAAACTGAGGTGACCAGCATCACAGTGTTCAACACACAGACACACCTTAAGCAGTTACACTGGCACAATCACATTTCTGAGTTCAGCTCACAAAACACATTCTAAGTGATTCTAAGCCCATGCAAAATTTGCCCATTGATTCAGCTGGATCAGAAGTTCACCACAAAAGTTAACTTAAAATCTGAATCCATGCATTTTGCATGTCTTTTCCAAATCAAGTATGAGATCAATTTGATTTTATTTTGCTTGTTTATACCTATGCTTTGTTTAGGATCAAAGTCAGACCTAACTGTAACAGACCCTGAACACTGCATCTGCTTTCCTAAAAGGAACAGTCATGTTCCTACAATCTACAGTAAGGTTCATCTAAGAGATTAATAAACACCTACAGTACAAATTAATGATTGGTCTTTTCTGCAATTATGACGATGTACCTTATGATTTTTCACACTTGAAATTACATTTTATCTTACAATTCAATATGAAAAAAGTAGTATTTTATAAATACCAAAAGTAACGGTCTGCTCCCCCAACACAGTAGTTAAATACTCTCGACAAAAACTCCAGTATTTACTTGCAACAAAAAACATTCTTTGGTATCAGTGTGATTTTTATTTTAAGACATTATGGTTAGGCTTTAAATGTTTAAAAGTCATTTTTTACATCAGTCTTCAAAGTAAAATATAGTGCATAAGCTAAGATAAATGCAAGCTTCCTATTTAGAATAGCATGTGCTACCTCATTGTCAAAAAACAGTTTTGAAAACGTGTGACTGCTACATATGCAGGGTTTTTTTGTTTTGGTTTGTTGGGTTTTGGGGTTTTTTTTAATGAGATTTTTATCCAATATGCCCAGAGGCAACTCACACTTTCATCAGCTGCAGTATCTGCAGTCATCCAGCTCTTCTGCTAACTAGTGGATTCCAAAAGAACAGATTTTGGTCAAATGAAAGCATAGTATTAAAATGCTTTCAGTTCTACATGTGCAAGCAGGCTGGCTTTTGATGTCCTAAGCATTCCCAAAACAACTTTAAAAAACAAGCAGAAAGAAATAGGATTTGCTTTGTACCTTTAGGGGTAGGAGATGACTCATTTAAAGAAACACAATCAGCAGTGACACTGTCAGGTCTCGTCATAATTTTCTGCTCCAAATAAGCAAAAGTTCATCTCTGGATAACTGAAAGGATGCGTGATTTACTTGTTGTTTTAGAAGTGAATGAGAACAGAAGTTTAGCGAATAAACTTTAACTAAATGTTGTAAGCAGTGGCATTACATTATGGTAGTAATTCAAAATAGAGATGTGGTCCGTGAGAAGTTAAAAGGTAAACTACAATAATCTTCTGGTAATTTTTGTTTCTTTGCTTTGTAAGTGAAGTATATAGAGATATGTTCACCATCCTTAAAGGAAGCAAATAGAATCCTGACATATAAAAATCCTTTGAATTCCTGGGATGGGAGGGGACTAGGAAAGAGCTCAGGTTGTGGAAGTGGCACAGCAGGTCTGTGCACTCGCATGCATAGAGGGGAAAAAATGGACAGCTCAGTCTCAGTGGCTTTATTTTCTTGCTTTGATAGCATGGCTATGTAATAATCATTGCTGTTTCATAATGCAGAATTATCTTGTTCATATACTTTAAATATTCAAGACAACTCTTATTTCAAAGATTAAACCCAAAATTTTGCACTCAGTTATCTTTTCATGCAACTAGCTAGCCCTTTGAATCTGATTATTTACTATTTTAAAAGTTATTTTCAATATTCTTTGTGTCTGGTCGAACTACTTGCTCTGTTACTCTTAAATTATTTCAAGAACTGCGTCAAGAACTTCTGTTTACTACTAAGCTTTTCCATGGAGATATTATAGAGGGTACATTTCGTACCATGAACTTACTACTTGTGGTCCATAATGCAACAGACAACCTTTTTTGATATTATGTGACCTAAAGTTGTTTAGTTAATTGTGTTTCAAAAACCCATTTATACTTTAGTCCCTTCAGTTAATACACCATGGAGCTAATTTAATCATGAGATGCTTATAGCTATTTCTGCAAGAGGTAGGTATAGGCACTGAAGGCTTGACAACTATCTTACCTATGAATACCGAAAGGAAATTTTAGTCTAATATATGCTCCGTCTCTCAATGAGCTATCTAAACCATTGCAAATTAATTCGAAACACAGAAAATAAAACACCCTATCTATCATGGCCAGACAAATAACACCTAAACCATTTTAGGCATAATACTATTAACTCACCTGGAAGCTCAACAAACCCCAAGTTACTACAGTTCTTAACTTGTTTACTTTTGCCTTTAAAAAAACCCTAAAACCAAACCAACCATAAAAGCAGACAGTCACAAATTTCAGCGTAAAATGAAGTTTTTCATCCTCTACCTACTGAAATATTTACCACTTGTAGGTTGTGCTTAATGATCATCACTTTAATACACTAAATTAAACACAGAAAATAATATTAAAATATATACAAAGTGGTATAGAAGACAGTGATAAATCTGTAGCATACAGTTTAACCTTAGTTTGCAAGGAGTTGAACTTTCTGTGCTGTGTGTTTTTAACTTACGTCACTCCAGGATTTGTGCTTTTTGTCCCAGTTCCCCCCCAGAAGCACCACTCATACACTGCATTGTATTTCTTGCTCATGCATAATTTGCTGAAAAAAGCAATAATTCAAGCAAATTATGACCCAGCTATACTCTGGCATATATTTTGAGAAACCCAGCGTAGCCCTGAAAGCTGAGGAGCGCTGGTGCCCCGTCCCCCGCCCCGGCAGATGTCAGTGTAAGGCAGCGCTGCCGGCGGGAGTCCCACCTCCGCCGCAGAACTTGGATGAGCAGCAAAAGCAGAATAGCAGGAGATCTTCTGCTTTTCTGGCAAAATACAACTATTAAATATAGGAACAAACAGAAGCACTAATTTATTGAAAAAGAACAAACAAAACTGAGCCAGGATTTGGAATAGGTAAATCAAGGTTACACAGAGCCATAAGGCCAACTAAGGACCTGAGATCATCCAAAGGTGTGGGGCTATACTTACAAATTTTCACAAAATTTGACCAGCTGTGTCCAGACAGTCCTCTTTCACCCCAGAGTTCAGTCACTTTTCGCCCTCTTTTCTTCATAGTATGGGGGGAAGCCCTGAACATACAGACAGTAACATACAGACAGTAACATTTCATTTTCCTAAGATTATAAATTATTCTAAAAGAAAACTTAAGCAGCAGAATAATATTGTACCCACAATGCTAATTTCATTTTCTTGTCTGTACACATCATCCTTCCACATTTAATTATATGGCTGTATACTGTTTCCCCCCCTTACCTAGTGCAGAAGACAAAGCGTGCTCATTCAGGCCAACATCCAACATTTCTCTGTCTTTATAATTCTGTGTGAAATTCCCTACTTTATTTACTCCATGAAGAAACTGAGTAAAGAACCATCCACTTCCTTGAGGTCTTTCATTTGAACTGTATTGCTAATGGTCTTCTTGAAAGTACTAATTAACTTATATGTCCAGTTCTCCCAGAACATTAAACTACATTACGAATCCCATTTGACAAACAGAGACAGTGATACACTGCAAAACACAATGAATTGCTGGAAAAGTGGAAGTGGGAGTCATGATTACTTTTGCCTCTTTTCCAAGAGAAGCAAGTATTCCCAACTTATATTAAATTCATTCGCAGCCCTAAAAAAATCTAGTAGTGTGCATCTCAAAGGACCCCTAATTGGACTGCTCTTTTTCTGGGTGACAACCTGCCAAAATTGAAACATTCGCTGGGTACTCGATGCAAAATCTGTTACAAGCAGAGGACACGACCAACTTCACTTACAGGCCTCCGGAGTTGTTGGAGTTTTGTGGTATTTTTTGTTTAATGCACTGGCCACTTCCAGTGTAAATACAGGACTGTGCTCCCAGGCAACAAACTCACAGCATAAATGTCTGTCACTCTCTGAAAACCAGTTGCCTGCAGACAGACTGAAGAAGTCCTGTGTGACAGGATTTTTACCTTTACATAGCATGTATTAACAGAAGAAAATATACAATGCTTATACAAACACTTCCCAAACAACAAATGTCGAACTCTGCAATTTAGGTGTGTAATACGTCGGATTATTTTTATTATTTCTTTCATTTCACTAAAAACAAAAACACGAGTAGCTTCAAACAAAGCATCCTTATCAGGATGTGAATCAGAAATGCCAGGTTGATAGCCATCAGCACTCATATCACTAGCTTGGCTACTCTGGAAGCAGCAGAAGATAACTAACCTGCTGGTTCAGATGCTAAAGGGCCATACCTGAATATCCTCACGTGAAAGCACGGCCAAAGACAAAGTAACAGCACGCTCTCCGTTGCGCATAGCGTGTCCTGTGGATGCTGCCTGTCCCATCTCTCAAACATGAACTAATTGGCTTAGTAGTTAGGTAGCCAGGAGACTGGCTGCTGGAACCACGTGAGGGGTGTCCCTCCGGCCAGCACTGCCACAGATGCTTTGCTCCTCCTCGTAGCTATAGTGGTTTAGTCAACAACTGGATCCTGCCTTTCTCCAGAAGGTGCCAGTTTACCACATGATGCTGGGGCTGACTTGGGAGCTGCCCAGCTGGAGAGCGGTTTGGAAATTTTGCCATAATATCAGAATGGCACAGAACAATGGGAGAGTAGCATAACAGTGGCTTTTGACAAAATAGCAAAACCCTGCACTTTTGTCACCAGAATGGCTTTAAAGTTAGGGCATATCCAAGGTAGATAAGAAAAGCTCTTTTGTACCTGAAGATTACTATAGCTTCCCTTATCTGCTAGTAAGTGCCTGATGACCTATGACCTCTCCCTGATACCCTACGCTTAACAGAGATCTTCTTGGAAAGGCAAGTAGATCCACTCCTCCCTTATTTTACCTTTCTTTCATACCTGGGCTAGTTTTGGAAAAAAGCCTTTAGGACTTCCAGACCAGGGAAAGTATTTAAAAAATAATCTAGGGAAATTCAAAGGCAGACAATATCTCTGATATTGTTTTAACATTTTCCAAGCCACAATCTATAATCTCCATCTGTAATCTCCATGTTTACCTCTTGCTGGATGCAAGACGAGAAAATACTGTACCATGTTATCTGAAATATTAAAAGCAATGCCAAAACTTCTGCAATTAAATGGACTATAAATAATAAAAAATCAGATCTGTTATAGATGTTCAGGAAATTTCTCTATGGTAGCTGCTTACTTTACACAGCCTGGTCAAAATTTACCATGTTGATAGCATTTTTAAAGAAAAAGAGAAGGTTTCCTTCCTAAGATGTTTGATTTCCTTGTTACAATCAATATATTAAAATGTTATTTCAGTAAATATGATTATAAACCAAATAAACTCACGTTTAGAGTCCTGATTCAAGTATATGATCAAATGTGGAATAATTACAAACAAAATTATGACTTCACTGATTACATTATTTTTTTCCACAGTGCTTTCATGCTTACATGAACTAAATATAATGCTTAATACATATTCTTGTAATATCAAACTGCAGGAATATTTTTAATCTCTTTTGCATGCAAGAATCCATAATAAAGTATTATTTTCAATGTTATATGTAGTGTGTATGGAACAAAAATGGTGCAATTTTGTAGCCTTATTTTTACACAAAGGATAGATGAATTTATAGGATTTATTAAGGATATAATTATTAAAAACTCAAGGCAAGTTAAATTTTAAGCTGTCATTTAATTTATGGAATGTGAGTGTACACTGCCTACAGGTAGCACACAGAGAAATGTTTATTTTGTGAAATCTAGTAAAAAGAGTTTGGAGTTATTTCTAAATTCTAACGTTATGCAAAACGTGCATTTCTACAAATAAAACTCACTTTTTTTAATGTTATATTGCAATAAAATCAAGACACACATTGTGAACAAGACTTTCAGACCAATTAGGCATACAATTACATGTGCAGAAGGCATGCACAATTGTGCAGCTAATTTGTGCATGAAATTACTTTGATTGCACATACTAATTGGATAAATGTGTGTGCAAATGCCAGTAGTCATTTGTGCTAGCAATTATCCAATGCACATACATAGTCATGGCAACTGTATGCATAAATTAGATGCAGTCTTGCATACCTAACTGGTCTTGGGTTTTAATCAGAAATTCTTTTTTTTCCTCTACCAAGTCACTTGGACACAGTATTTTTGGAAATTTCATAGTTATTTTTTATCCAGATGAGCCAAAACAATGAACATTGGCATTACAAAGTAATTTATTTTTTATTGAACAAGAAGAGAAAAAGGAGTTCTTTTCTACAGATGGAGAAGATGAGAAACATAGAGTATACTCTCTCTCTCTCTCTCTCTCTATGTAACTATAAAACACAACAGGAACAAGTAAGTATACTTTCATGACACCCGATTAAGAATTACAAAATTTGTAGGTTGTAATTTAAAAAATAAGTAAGTATGACAAATTTTCTGAATTGACATGGAGGTTTTAGGTAGTTCTTCCAAACATGACTACCATGCTTGCACACTTCAAGTTCAGTGTTCACCATCTTCAATAATAAAATAATCCTTGCATGTAAAAGAAATGGATTTGAATTAAAATACATATCTATACAAACATACAGGTAAGAGCCCAAATCCTGAATGAATTCGTAAAAGAAATAGTTGTTTACATTCTTTCTTTCAGACCGATAGAGCTTTTTAAACATACATAGGTAGATAGTAGGAAAATATCTTCCAATAAGAATGGGCTATTCAAAGGATTCTAGTGGAGTTTGAAATTCGATGGGAGAAAGGTACCATAAAGTCCTTGAAATCCTTGGAAAATCCTAATCTAAACAGATATTAAGCAGCAAAGAAAGAAAAAGTCTAAGAGTGAAGTCTGGGCAAACTCAGTATTATAACTCTACCAAGAACACAAAATGCTTACAAATACTAAATGCTTACAAAGCAGTCTCAGGAATTTTAAATTATGTTTTCCTTCAGTCAAGCAAGTTTATTTTTCTAGCAGAAGGTATGTTATTGTGAGTCTATCTTATAAATGAGCAAACCAGCTCCCTCCCTCAATTATTGTCTTTAGTTCTGGTCACCATCTTTCAAAAAAACAAACAAAAAAATCAAGCATAGAACCATCCAAAGGGCTTTAAAGAAAAGCAACAAAAATGATCAAAACTATGAAAAAAAATAAAATGAGTCAAAAATAGCAACTTTTTCTTTAGAGATGAGTAAAATACACGATAAAGAGATAAAATAGCAAACATATAAGAAAGTAAATCAAGTGCTTCTGTTTACTCTGAGGCAAAAAATTGAAAGTATATTTAAAGCTAAAAACCCCCACTCTTTTTAAACAAGACCAAACTATATTAATCTGTGAAGTGCACTTCCAACAGATATGACAAGAAACAATGATCTTATTAGTATTAACATGGAACCACACATCTCTACAAAAATTGCTAACATCTGCAATTGTTACCAATTAATTTTTAGGAAGGTTTTATATCTTTTCCCCAAACCAAAAAAACCCCACCATCTCTTCAAGATAAAATTTTTATTAGAAGATGATTATAAGATATCCTTTTAACAAAAACCAGGTACTTAATAAAGTGTTTCTCTGAAATGTTGTCTCCACACAAATCCTACTGGGGGTGATCAGCAGCTTGGTAGCTCAGAGGAATGATAGCTCCCCGACTAAGACTTTCAGAGTAGCTGTGCATCTAATGTAGACCTTGATGTTAAAAAGAATGTGTCCTGAAAGTATTTACAAAGATCAAAAAAGCACCCCAGCAGATTTCAGCAGGGAATCATCAGATACCAGCTGTGACTGACAACAGGATACTACAACACAAGAAAGATTCACATAATCAAGAATGACAATTGTAATCTACTAGCAGTTTGTCTCCTCAGTGGCTTGTTCACTCCCCCCCACTCCAAAAAAAAAAAAAAAAAAAAAAAAAATCATTACACACTCTTCCTCCCTATTCGTAGCCTCTTTCTGTTCTGCCTCCCAATGTTGTATGATAATGCTCTGCCTAACATAAAACTTATTTTACCTTTAAGGTAAGCAGAAAACATGCTCTCTTTTGGAGTTAAGGTCAAAGAAGTTAGGGTAGGCTAGTTTATAATCTGATATAACACGTTTCCATCACAGCCTGTCAACAGTCCTTATGCCTAATACATGGCATTTTCAAGACACAGACATATTCCCTTTTTTTTTTTTTATAAACCACAGCTTTCAGCATTCCTCCATCCACTCACATTTACTTTATAAAAGATGGAGATCTGAACCAAAACAAAGGTTTAATCTTTTGTGTAGATATCACTAAATTTAAAGTTTCACTGAAGAATCACTTTAATCCTATAGTGACTAAAGAGCTTATGTATTCCAGGAACATACAACAAGCTTACGTGGAGGCTATATACCACTCCTGAGGGAGAAATGACTTCTTTGGCATTTGACAATTCAACTCCAGAATAAATAATTTCATTACTTAGTTCAGTACAGTATTAGCAGCAGTGTGTTTGAATCCACTGGAAAAGCACCGATCATAAGTAATTTGAGTGATAATCATATGGTGGCAATCAGTATATCCACATAAAATTTATTAAATTACTGTACGCTAGCAGAGATTAATAGTTAGCAGGTACTTACAACAATTAAATATTCTTGTGGTTGGATTTTTTCTTTTCTCTGAATTAGTAGTTAAGGACACTGTAGAGTCATAAAGATTTGAAAATACATAAAATCCTAAAAGATGTATATCCTATGTCCTTAGAATTAGATCCAACCCGAAAGGCTTAGGAAATGCCTTTTGTAAATTAAGTGCATACTTCTAAAAAACCTCAAACCCTTATGTGAGAAATACAGAATCTGGGTTTATGATCAAGATTCAATGCACTAACATTCTTAGCACTCACTGAGGAAGAAAAAAAAAAAGAAGTATCTACATTGCTAAACATCGCTCTAAAATTCTACTGATAAAGATAGAACAAAAGAACTAGGAACAACTTAAAACTGACTGCCTACTCACAGACCCTTAAAATTATTCCACTTATCTGACTAATTAATAGGCACTACTTCTCTGGAAGAAAAAAACCCCAACAAATCAAGTGAAAAAAAACCCAACCCCTAATTCACTCCACAGTTAGATACACTAATCTCTTTCATGCCTGATAATGCTTTGGCACATTGTTATCTATTGTGCTATGAAAAAATAACTCAAAATTGTTTTCTAAACATCTTCTCCAAAGCATTCATGATGCCTTCTGCTAGATCACCCTGCATATGCATTTCTTCTGCAAGCTGTAGAGTTCTGGTTTATTCAGTCTATCCTTGTAAGGAAACTGCCCCATACTGGTGATTATTTCAAGGTCTTCTCACAACTTTCCTGGTTTTCCAAAAAA